CGAAAGAGAGAAAGAAAATTTTAATTTTTGTGTACATACAGTGAGCATACATTTAATGTTAACGATCGTTTCATAGTTACCACATTTTCATTGTCATCAAGTATATATTCTTTTTCTGTTCATACATCCCAGAATTATGATGCTGTTTTCTGTACTTCTCTGCCAAGTTTCTAGTGAATTTTGTCCGAATCTGAAGTTCTGCAAGCAAAACCGTCTACTTTAAGTAGCATCGAAATAAGAGTGTCTGTTGTATCAGAAAGAGATAACAAAGATGACCAAGCGAAAACTGACATGTTCTCTGAGTTCTTTTTAGAATGTTTTTCAGCAAATTCCTGCCTCTGCCCTTAAATCAAAATCAATATCAAAAAACATTTTTATCAACTTTTGATTTTTCGGTAGCGGAAGTCATAGTTCTGATAAAATCATTAAAAAAAGAAAAATCCGTGGGGATAGACGGAGTTTCCGCTCAATTTGTTCAGTTTTGCGCTGATGTACTAGGACCTCAGTTACATTTTGTGTTTAAGAAATCGCTAGAAAATGGGATTTATCCTGAGTTATGGCAATCAGCTTTGATTAATGCAGTTCACAAAAAAGGTTCTCGTTCATTCTGTTCCAAGTATCGCCCGATTTCGTTAGTATCGAAGATCAGTAAAGTTTTCGAAATCTTAGTCCAACAACCACTTCTACGCCACTTAGAGCAATCAAAATTTATCTCTTGTGTACAATTCGGTTTTCGTCCACAATCTAGCAGCGTAGATGTACTCCTCCATGTCACCACAGAGTTAAGTAAGCGTGTTGAAAAAAGAAATAAAGTCATAGGGATGGCGTTTTATTTCTCAAAACCATTCGATAGACTACCCCATCAGTTACTCCACACAAAACTGTCCCTAGCAGGTGTCGATGGGCCACTCTACCACTGGGTTAGCTCCTATCTCTGTCAACGGAAACAAATTGTTTCCATTAACAATAAACGATCCAGTTCAGTACCTGCAGTCTCAGGATTTCCCTTGGAAGTTCTGGGGTAGACAGATGTTAGGCGCAATTTACCGTACATTTAACAGTGCACAATCTTCTCTACGTCTTCTCATCTTTGAAATGTGTATAATGCCAGTCATGGACTATTGTTCTGTTGTTGATGATACTACTGCAAAAATGCATTTACACCCACTAGTTTCTGTTCAAAAGGTGGCAGCCAGAATAATCTGTAATGACTATGAAACGAGCAGCTCATTACTCATGAACAAATTAAATTTTCCTGATTTAACTGAAAGACGAAAATATTTTCGTCTGTTACATTTTCATAAAATTATGATAGGAAAAAGCGCTCTATTAAGATTTAACATGATCATCTGTAATTCTCTGTTTAAAGTTTTCTTTTTTCTGTTTATGTGTAACAATTCCATCTTGTTTCTTACGTAGTAGATTATTATTTATATTATTATATTTATAATTATTACACAATAATTATTAAGTTTTTGATCTTCATTATTGGATTTCAAATGATGGCAGCCTTTAGTTTTATTTGTTAATAAAACTAAATAAATAGATATATCGAGTGGAATACAAAACTTCGATACATCGAATACACTTTCTACAATAATGAGATCGATCTCTGTTACTTATTTTTTTATCCGTTTAGTTTGGAAATTTGAATTATAGACGGGTCGAAAGTAAGAAAAAAGCTGAATAAAACTTGCTATTTTACAGTTATTCAAAATTGAATTAACTTTAGAAGGCCTGATATTTCAAAGAACTTTTAACCTTAAAAAATCGGCTTTTTCCTTCAGGCAAAAATATGTGAGAAAATGAGATTTTGATCCACTTCTGAGACACCTACTTTTCGCGCCTTTGGTAACCGTAAAGTTTTAGATGAGATTTTCAAGGAGAACCAGTTTTTGTTTTAGAGAGTATTATACGTATGCTTAAAAAATGACAAGTTTCTCATAGGTCTATCGGGAAAAATCTATATCTCGCACAGTGGGCAACCACGCGGACATTTGGCAAAAAAAGAAAGTACGCCTTTTCAAAATTCAAATAGTATTGAAGATACTGAGATAGATGGTCTATTTAATGATGCAAAACATTTGTTCCAAGTGCGAATTTTCGAAGACAATGCATACGGAAAAAACAGAGTGTATATCAGAGATATATAGGAAAAAATCGGTTTTTTAAGAAATTATGTTAATTCAAATATTTGAAATAGGCGTATTTGGAATCAGGATACTCTCAGCTGTACGCCGGTAAAAAGCTGTTTCGATTTGCATCTGAAAGTGAAGAGAAAAGAATAGAATTTCGCCGATGACCGCATGCTAGGAACAGGCGTCATGATTGCAATGAGGTATCCACCTCCGTAGATAGCTCAAAATTAGTTCAAAATGTTCATCAACATCTCTACTGCATCTAATGTGAATGCACATAAATGCACATATCTACCAAAGCTGAGTTATAGGTTTTCCAAAAATCCTGGAGTTTTCAGGTAAAAACCATTTTTCTCACCCCAGAAACACTCTCATACAAAACTAATCATATATTTCGAATCAGCGTATCGAACTATATCGAATGATATGTCAGTTGTATGTTTTTATGCGCAAAAAATAGTTCGATTTAATGAAATGACAGATTTGCAGCATTCCGTAGCAATTTTCGTTAGACATGTGCCATAAATGTGATACGAAAGCCTCTAAACACTATTTGTATAGGTTTTTCTATGCGTTCTTTCTAATAGTGTGGCTTACAAGTTCAGAGATATGTTTATCAGGGTCTTCCAAAGATCCGGTCTTTGGAAAACCCGACTAAAAGTAATTTTGAACTTTGTCAATTACATCATTGGAAAGAGCGCATACGAAAACCTATAAAAATAGTGTTTAGAGGCTTTGTATCACTTTTATTTTCCACATGCGTAGTCAAAATTGCCCACTGTGTCTTGGTCATTATAAGCATTTACGTCACCATTTCCCTACCCTCTCTCTTATTATCATTTACCCTTGCTTTTTCTTCATTTCTCTAATTCTTTTGTATGTCTGTTCATTCACTTGTTGATTATTTCTGTTCTCATTCTTCAGGAATCTTTAGTTCATCATTCAACATTTTGTCGCCAATTAAGAATGTTATAATGAGCAATAGCTCGGTTATGTTCTCACTTGTATTATTATTTGGAATAAATTATATATATAAAAAAAGCATCGGTCGATAGCAATGGAGAAGAACTGATAAATCTTGAAAAGAATGTTTTGTTACACTGTAAAAACAAGAAGTGTGTAAATGGCACAGTGAAAGGGGACGCCAAGTCAACCCTCAGTGATTGTCTAGAACACATGGCGTAGATGTGTAAAATACAAACTGAGATTAAAGTGATTGTCAAGACTATCTATGCAAAAAACACCTAAGATTCATTGATCAGTTATTCGAATCTCATGCGTGACCAGGATACTTTTCGCGTTTTTTCATTATCCGTTTATACTGAAAATGACACCCTATATACGAACATTTCGCCTATTTACATACATTTCGATCGAGAAGGTCGGTATTTCATACAACAGAAAGAAAAGTTATATCTGTCATTTGTATAGAACGAAACAAACAGGAACTTGCTGCAAAGATATTCAGTGACCAAAAAAGCGAATAGAACTTCTATCGGGCAAATTCCTCCACTCCGTTAAAGCTTTGAGTAATATTTAACATTAACTGCCGATTTCGTCTGAAACAAATCAATGTTTTGAACATTGCATATTGAATCACTCTTTACTCATAGACTGCATTCACTTTTTATTTATTTCTCGCCCAATGTGTGTGTCTGTGCTCGTTACTACCACTCGTCACACAACTTCTTTTGTGATTTATTCATTAAACGAGACATTTCACTTCGCTGAATGCATTCAGAATAAAAAATCTACACTTTTATCGTTAATAACGAAATCAAATCGGTAGCAACTGTTCCCAAGCAACACGCAGGAAAGAAAAAGTAAGTAAATGACGACCAAGTAAATCAAAGTCATGACACATGAGTAGTCATTCTTATCATATGATCATATCTTTTAACTGGTTTGCCATAAACATAATCATGAAGTGTATCGCATATCGTCACACAATTTAAATCACAATAAGTATAGTGACAGTTCTCACCTAAGAGCCATTCAGCAGATTCAATACCATAATTTTGCATTAATGTATGCGGATGACAACCTATAACGGGGTTTTCAGCCGGTTCTTCGTCCTCAAGAGCGTAACGATGTAAGAAACCTTCATGGTATCAGACGTAAACGATGACCGGTTCGATTAGTCCATATTTTATCAAAAAATATTGGCTAATTTACTTTTCTCGTTTTTCAGTAATCTGTTTGTCTTTTATCTATGATTTCAAGGGTGATCCATTTCCCAATTATATTGTTCAGTGACATCATTGTATAAGCATTGGTACTTTTGAACACCATCTGCATAAAGACGATAAAAGTGTTCATGACCTAATGGTAATTCAACATGTGTTTGATTATCAGAAAATGGTTGTGATAGAACATCAGTAGTAGACGTATGACACCCCTGTCGCTCCTCATCGAATGCTTTCACTCGGCACAAAAATGTCGCCATGTTCTTGAAATTGAACAATTTTTTATTTTCTAGTGCTTTGTGTTCATTCGAAGTTCGTTCATTCTAATATTAGCAGTAGTGCTTACTCATCTCATCGCCCTCACATTCACCCTCATATATTCGGAATCAGCATCGGATTCGACACAAAACAAGGTGTCTCTTAGCCTGGCCAGGTCGATTAATGAAAAGTATCTGCATTTATCTGCTGAAAGCAAATGTATCGCCAATTGACAAGTACTAAGAAGCTGCATTCTTTCGATACTTTTTTAGTTTTTTGATAACAATAATAAGGGACTGGTAAAAATGACTACTCATGTGTCATGACTTTGATTTACTTGGTCGTCATTTACTTACTTTTTCTTTCCTGCGTGTTGCTTGGGAACAGTTGCTACCGATTTGATTTCGTTATTAACGATAAAAGTGTAGATTTTTTATTCTGAATGCATTCAGCGAAGTGAAATGTCTCGTTTAATGAATAAATCACAAAAGAAGTTGTGTGACGAGTGGTAGTAACGAGCACAGACACACACATTGGGCGAGAAATAAATAAAAAGTGAATGCAGTCTATGAGTAAAGAGTGATTCAATATGCAATGTTCAAAACATTGATTTGTTTCAGACGAAATCGGCAGTTAATGTTAAATATTACTCAAAGCTTTAACGGAGTGGAGCAATTTGCCCGATAGAAGTACCTGACTTAAATGCGGCCGCGTAAATCAAGAGCGTAAACTTCACATACTCACACTCGTGATTCTGTCGTAAGTATTTGTGAGTGAACTCTTTTTCGTTCAATACGAATCATTACTTTTTTCCTCATCCACTGTTGCAGTTTTACTTGTTTTTATTTTCCCCCTCGGGCACATTCAAAGGTGGACTACCATAGCTCCGCATTCCGCAAGAGTATTAACTGTCCGTAGACCATAGACGTAACCGGTCAAGATTTTCTGGACCGGGCCGGTAACCGGTTGAAATTGAATTTTCAAGATGTCCCTTAGATCTAGTTTTGTAGAGAACACTTCGAACTATATATGTATGAACACAAATCCATAGATTTCTATGTCGGCTTTCGGAGAACCAAACTGGTTTTCCACAGATCTCCTGAAAAAGTCATCTTTGAGTTTTTTTCCAAACTCGTTTTTACTTATAAAAACATAGTCTCAGATCTTGGCTAGCGGATGATGAAAACCGCAAGTCTCTATCTTTTATTCCTCCTGAGTTATTCAAAAAATAACCGCCGGCCCGTATTTTAGCGCCGATAATATTGCAACAAACATTAAAAAAAAAGAAAAACATGAAGAAAAAAAATATTCACATAGTAGAGATTACTGGTCCTGCTCTCGTAGACTGTTGACAAAAAAGAGAAAACCAGACTAACTTTCTTAATCTGAAACATGAAAAGCTTTGCTTTACTTAGCTCGTTTCGTTTCGACAAATTCGTTTTCGACAAAGTACTGATTTTTCAGGCAAAAAAACATTTTTTTTCTCGATCGAAATTAAATTAATCTTCTTTCGGCCCGTCAGAAATTCCTGACCGAACCGGGCCGGTTACGTCTCTGCCGTAGACTGCGTGAACAAAAATATATATTTAACTCAATATTAGAAAGTAGCGTGTGGATAGGAAAAAGATTTTTTGAAAAAATTGTTTTACCAAAAGATTCTTTTCTGTGAAAATTATTTGTGCAATAAAAACAAATTCGTTTAACCTCATCAAAGCCATTGGAAAGACTCAGAATACCTTTTCCGAAAACATTTTGGTCACAGAATTATGAGGAAAACACTGACCGTACAAATCATTTTTGCTGCCACCGTAACTTGTCGCCGTCATCTACACCACAAAGTGAATCGTGGGGATAGTTTATCTGTCACCCTATACACAACGCAATTTTGAACAGAATAAAAACAAATTGTTCTTGAAGACGCCCGTCGTTTCTCATCTACAACAATTTTACTTTTGGTCAAAATGACGGAGATACAGATTAAATATTGACAAAGATCAATAGTAAAAGGTGAGAAAATGTCCGCTACTTTCAACGCTATCAAATATCGTGCAAAACCATATTCCATTCATGAAACTGGATCAGCCGAGAAAAAGTTTTTCGGTGGATTCTGAAATTTTTGTTCACGGAGTTTATGGATACTTAATACTCTTGTGGAGTGCGGGTCTGTGGTAGTCCACCTTTGAATGTGCCCGAGGGGGAAAATAAAAGCAAGTAAAACTGCAACAGTGAATGAGGAAAAAAGTAATGATTCGTATTGAACGAAACAGAGTTCACTCACAAATACTTACGACAAAAGCACGAGCGTGAGTTCGTGAAATTTACGCTCTTGAAATCGAATTTTTTTCTCAACAGTTCAGGGTAGGACCAGGGGTCTAGAAACAGTTACCCTGCAAAGCTCTAGTTTGGGTTCAACATGTCATATTTCACGTGATTTGTACGGCCAGAGAAAAATGTTAATGTTCGTAATAGAAAACGTTTGAGAAAGTTCAAATATTGTTTGACTTGCATTTTTGTGAACTCAGTATGGGATCGCAAGCTGGTTAACAGACAATTAATTGATAGTTTTTGTCGCATTATCCTTGACTTTCAATGTGGCGATAAATTCGTTATTTTTATTTGTTCCAGACATACTTCAGATGATTTAGAATGCAGCAATTGTGTGGAATGAGTATGAATAGCGCGCGTAGTGGAACGATCGTTAACGGAGTTAAATGTTGAAACACTCTACGGAATTATAAAAACTTTCGCTCTTGCCAGCCAGATTTATGTACGTTCGCAACAACAAAACAGTCATAATATTGCTCATCGTAGTGTTCACGGGTGTTTCTTATTATTGTTATAGAAATATAAGATATGATATTGATCAAAGTAACAGCAATGATGCTGTTGTTGACCCGCCGTTTTCGAGACTGCCGAATGTTGCTAACATATACAACTCTGAAATATTAGATTCGACCTTTAACTTGATCCCGGAATGGTTTTCAATTGGGTTCACGAGCGATGGAAATAATACAGATGAAATTATCGGCGTAATCAAGAACTATCTGCACTTAAGACAATTTGCGTTACATTGGCACATTGTTACGACTTCAGATGCACAAAATCGATTAAAATCGGTCATTTCCAGTTGGAATATAAGTCCTGTACATTTCAGACTAACATTTTACGATTATTCACTATGTCGTCCTTATACTGAACCTTACGAAGACTGGATCCTTATAGCTCGTTTTATGGGATCCATGTGCAAATTAGCATTGCCGCATATATTGCCGCATGATATACGATATGTTATGGTTGTTGATACGGATACAGTACTACTTGATGGATCTTTACGCTACTATGTGGACTGTTTTTATCAATACATACAACAATTTCAACTAGCTGAGTACGACGAAAGACAAAACATTGATAAACGTGTATTAGATAGTATTCCAGAGATACCTATTGCTGTAAACAAGAAAAACAAAACTATATTTGACGTTGATGAGATAAGAAAAACCCGGTTTAATTACACTATGCTACCTCCTCGTCCAGTATTTGCCTTAGCTCCTGATCATCACCATGAACAACCAATCATTGCCATCTGGCCACATATGCTTCAAGGAACTTTGAACGGCGGAATTATGCTATTTGACTGTCTAGGCTATCGCCGGCACAGAATCTGGGAACAAATACTACAGTATAATTACATTGAATGGGATAAACGACATCGATCCAAAGCAAAATGGCCTCACTCAGCCGACCAAAACCTAATTAACTTACTTATATCTGACAATCTTCAAAGCACACCAGTACCACTCAGAAGCTACAGCTTGATTTTACCATGTTCATGCAATTATTTTTTTTCACAGTGGATAGATAATAACTATAGAAAAGTAGTTTGTCCTATAGAGACGAGACTTAAATCAAGATCAACCCGTCCGTTTCGCATGCTAAACGAGATTATCTACGATAGATTAAAACAAAAATTATCCTCAAAATGGGACACCACTGCACTTTCAATAAGCATTGTTGAAGCACGATCTGCGACTGCTTATTTAAAGCAAGTCGGCTGGCAACAGGCCGGTAGTTTTCAGCATGAAAATGTTAAGTCCGTTATTAACCTAGGTCCATTAGTCTATCTCGCTCACTCGGGTGGGTTTAATAAAAACAATGATGAGCAACTGAGTAAGTTGCGTCGCTTCTATCTAACTTTCGAAGACAAACTTCTCACACAGGTGAATTCGTGGAACTATAGAAATGAACAATGGAAATAAATATACGATAAACAGCACGGAAAACACAACAGTCATGATCCATTCTAGAAACGCTCAGAAGCCCTACATTTCTTTTGTTTTGTGAAACAAGTAAAGTTCATCTTCAATTCACAAGTCCTTCTTTGGCGTATTATTAAATTTTAATTTGAACCAATGCCGACAATTTAACGTTAAATACGATAGTAACCATTCAGTGGAAACGGAACCGGCTCGCATGCATATGTTGGTTCAATGATAATAGTAGTGGCAGTGCTGGAGCATTGAATACCAAAAAGACAAAGAACGAAAAAGAGTTCACTCACAAATACTTACGACAAAATGACGAGCGTGAGTTCGTGAAATTTAAGCTCTCGAAATAGAATTTTTTTCTCAACAGTTCAGTGTAGGACCAGGGGTCTAGAAACAGTTACCCTGCACAGCTCTAGTTTGGTTCAACATGTTATATTTCACGTGATTTGTACGGCCAGAGAAAAATAAGGGTGAGAATGTTTGACAAATAATGATAAATCGAAGGAGAAGAAATTAAAACGGAAAAAGACAATAAAGAAAAAGGAATATTTACCCAATTTAATGAAAATTGTTTCTTTTGATTTTTGATTTTTTGTATACTAAGAGAAGTACAGTAGATGAAATAAAGCGCAAAGGGTGAAAAGAGAATAGAAATGATACGGACGTTGTTTGAATAAATGCTTGATTAAATAATAAAATGGTTTTATTAAAAAAATATATGTTTTGAAATAAATACG